GGGGGCAAGGGAAGGGCGGAATCCGGGGCGAGGGCTGAGAAGGGAAGTCCAGAGCCCTTGTGGCCAATGACGTCATTGGGGTAGCTTGCGTCCTGCGAGGGGTCCCGGGGCCTAGGGCCCCGCGTGGGGGTAGGGGTGGGGTGGTTGGGAAAGGATGTGGGGGGCGACTCCCAATCCCGACGCCCCCTCATCCATCCTTGCCCTCCTATGACGTCAGCACCTGGCCCCTGCGCATCCCCCTTCTGCAGCGCTGCCCCTCACCCCCAGAGCCCCAGGGTCAGGCCACCAACCTGGCCCAGCAGCTCACGAGGTGCCCGGGCGGAGCCTGCAATGCAGCAGCGGTAGCAGTGACTTGGGGGGCGGGGAATGGGAAAAAGAAAGGGAGGTGGCCTCTGGTACCCCCTCTCCCTCTCCCTGCGGTGAGGCCCCAGGCCCCATCGTGCTGCCGGTTGGGACCCTCAGATGGCCCCTCCTCAGTGCCAGCTGGGAAGAAGATCTGCAGGGGTGTGGGGCCCAGTTTGGGGTGCTGGGAGTGATAGGTGGTGAGTGGATCTATGTGTGTGTTTGGGTGAACTTAGCCTGCTTGTGGGTGTGTGAATGTCAGTACGTGCTCCGCACACCTGGAGTGGGACATATGCGCCCTATAGTCAGGTGAGGGTCTGATGGGTCCCTTGACTTGGGTGAAGTGATAATGTGTGAGTGCATGTTAGTGCGTCCTGTTGTGGGTGGGTCTCTCCCTGTAGAGTCTGTAGGGTGTGGGTGTCAGGTTGCAGTCGGGGTGGGGGTGGGGGATGTGCATTGAGGTAGATAAGGGGCTGGTATATCCCTGGGCTTCAGGGAATATGTAACATGTATGTGCACCTGTGTGTCCTGTGGTGGGTGGGTGTGTGAGCCTGTGCACGCACCTGTGCACCATATTACAGTGGGGGAGGATGTCGTGCCCTGGGCACAGGTGAGGGGCTGGTGTGTGTTGGATAAACGGGCATCTGCGTGTTCCTGGTCGGTGGGTCTTTGATGAACATGTGGTGAGGTGGGGGTGGGGGTCATGGATGAGGGTATGTGCACCTGACTGACGCTGCAGGTCAGGGTGGTGGCATGCACCTGTGATGGGTGGCTGCCCTGGGCTGGGGTGGGGTAGTTCCTCTCCTCTTGGGTCTCTCAAGGCCTAGTGCGACTGTGGGAGGAAAAAATGGCCCCTTAACCCCACCTCTGTTGTTTCCTCCAGACCACCTCTTCCTTCTCCCCCTTTTCACCCTTCCACTCCTCCCTCCCTCTTCCCCCTTCTCTCTCCAAAGGCACCTGGGGGTGAGGTGAGGACCAGGCTGGCAGCCTGCCAGGGAGGGTGTGCCCAACCCCCAGGGCCAGGGAGTGGTCCTTGCTGCCCAGCAGCTGTGTCCCGCCCCCTCCCTTGGCACAGATGGGGAGTGGAGGCCGGCGCTCCATCTGCTCCCCTAGACTCACACCTCTCTCTCTTCCTCTTTCTTACTTACTTAAAAGCCTCTCCCAAGTCTCCTGCAGTCCCTAGTGAAACCAAGGGACCAGAGGGAGTTGCAGGGTAATGGTAATAATATTTATTCCCATGGCCAGACCCTGTGTTAAGATCTTCACACATATGATCTCGTTGAATCTTCACAACAACTTGTTTAGGGAGGAGGAAATTGAGGTCCAGGGAGGATGAGGGAACTGCCCAAGTCATACAGTAAGTGGTGGAGCCAGCACCAAATGCTGGGCAGTCAGGCTCCAAAGCCCATGCTCTTGATCCCTAGGACCCCTACCACCCTGGCTTCCCAAACCACCAGGTCCAGAAATCAGTGCCCAGAGAGGGCAGAAGTAAGGCCACAATAACACAGCAAATCAGGAGCAGAGTCAGGACCAGAACTCAGTTTTCTCAGCGGACAGTTGTTGGGGTAAGAGGGGTGTACTTCCCTCTTTTGGCAGAGATGGTTCTACTTTGTCCTATGTGCCCTTGACTGAGAGATGACAGGGCACAGTAGAGGACAGGCTCAGGGCAGATAAGCCTGGGTTTGGGTCTTGCAGCTCTATTGTGAGTTAGCTAGAATGTTGGGGCCTGGAGCAAGTTGCTCAGTCCCTCAGAGGCTCAGTGTCCTTTTCTGCAAAGCAGGGATTGTAGCACCACCTCCTTCACGGGGCTTCAGCGGAGGGTCAGGCGCAAGTGATGGCCCCGTCCTGACACAAGCCTCCCATCTCTCTGCTCACTCTGCAGCAGCGGCCCCTGAAACAGTCCCTGGGAAGCTCCCTGTGCCGCGAGTCGCACTGGAAGTGCCTGCTCCTCACGCTGCTCATCCACGCCTGCGGTGCCGTGGTGGCCTGGTGTCGCCTGGCCACAGTGCCACGGCTGGTCCTGGGGCCCGAGGCAGCCCTGGCCCGAGGGGCCGGGGGCCCACCGCCCACCTACCCAGCCAGCCCCTGCTCTGATGGCTACCTGTACATCCCACTGGCCTTTGTCTCCCTCCTCTACCTCCTCTACCTGGCCGAATGCTGGCATTGTCATGTCCGGTCATGCCAGGCACCGCGCACTGACGCCAACACCGTACTTGCCCTGATCCGCCGGCTGCAGCAGGCACCACCCTGTGTGTGGTGGAAGGCCACCAGCTACCACTACGTGCGGCGCACCCGCCAGATTACCCGCTACCGCAACGGCGACGCCTACACCACCACGCAGGTCTACCATGAGAGGGCCGACAGCCGCACTGCTCGTGGCGAGTTTGACTACTCAGCCCACGGGGTCCGCGATGTCTCCAAGGAGCTGGTGGGCCTGGCTGACCACGCGGCCACGCGGCTGCGCTTCACAAAGTGCTTCAGCTTCGGCAGCGCCGAGGCCGAGGCTTCGTACCTCACCCAGAGGGCCCGCTTCTTCAGCGCCAACGAGGGCCTGGACGACTACCTGGAGGCCCGGGAGGGTATGCATCTGAAAGATGTGGACTTCCGCGAGTCCCTCATGGTCTTCGCCGACCCACACAGCCCGCCCTGGTACGCGCGCGCCTGGGTCTTCTGGCTGGTGTCGGCGGCCACGCTGTCCTGGCCGCTGCGCGTCGTGGCGGCCTACGGCACGGCCCACGTGCACTACCAGGTGGAGAAGCTTTTCGGCGCCAGCTCGCCCCCGCCCGGGGCCATGCCCAGCGGGCCCCCGCTCTCGCGTGTGGCCACGGTGGACTTCACCGAGCTCGAGTGGCACATCTGCTCCAACCGGCAGCTGGTACCCAGCTACTCAGAGGCTGTGGTCATGGGCGCTGGCTCGGGCGCCTACCTCCGTGGCTGCCAGCGCTGCCGGCGCTCTGTCAGCAGCAACTCGCTGCCTCCAGCCCGGCCCAGCGGGCCCCGCCTGCCTTTCAGCCGCAGCCGCCTCTCACTGGGAGCTGGGGGCAGGGCCACACCGGGGGTCTTCCGGAGCCTGAGCGGGGGGCCACTGGGGCGCCGTGGGGAGGACACGGAGCCCCTGGAAAGCCCACCGTGCTATGAGGACGCCCTTTACTTCCCGGTGCTCATTGTCCATGGTGACAGCGGCTGCCAGGGGGATGGGCAGGGTGCACTCTGAGACCCACGTGGCCCCCTGAGTGGCCCTCTCCCCACCGCCCCACCACCGGCTTTGATGCCTGAGTACTTGTTGTCCAAAACAGGAGGGAAAACAGACCAGCACACAATGGGTGGGGGTGGGGGTAGAGCCCTTAAACAGACTAACATGCAGTGATCGTGGTCATTTTGGGGGCAAATGGACACCACCGAAGTTGAGTCTATGAACCGTCCCAGCATGGCTCCCTCTCCACCACCACCGCCATGTTCCACCCCCTGTGATGGCAGACGATCTAGCTTGGGGGCCTCTCAGGCAGGGCAGGGAAGGAAGTTTCCAGAAAGCTTGGGAAGGGGGAGGAGTCCTGGGGACAGCTGTTTCCTGCAGCAGAGGGCTGCCTGTGGACTCTTCCCTGAATGGCTGAGGCCACATTGGGGGCCCTCGGGCAACCCAGAAGCACAACTTGGTGGTTTGGGGCTGTGCCGAGCTTGGCTGGCATCCGCGAACCTGAAGAGCTATGGCAACACCGCGGCCTCAGCCCCACTACCCTCCCAAAGTCCCCATCCTCCTTCCCTGACAGGCCCCTCCCGGCCTGCCCTCTGGCCTCTGCTCAGGGCCAGTCCCTGATCAGACCCTGTGGCGCAGCTGCTCTACTGGGAGCCTGGTTCTTGTAGCACAGCCTTGCCCTCTCTGCTGCCCACCGTTTCCCCTGGTACACCCTCTGCCACATCCAATTACCCCTGTAACCCAGGGTTCCTTCTCATGGCCCCACCTCAATTCCATATGCTCTGGTCTCTGCTTCTGCCCTCTGAAGTCCACGTCTGCCTCTTGTCAGCCACGCACACACCCTCCAGGCTATGTCCTCTCATTGCCCCACCCCGCCCCAACCTCTCTGCTCTTTGCCTTCCTGATGACCCACGGGGCTCAGGGCTACAGGGCATCTGAGGGGCCTCAGTCTCAGCCACAGCCTCTTGGACGATGCCTTTGTTCTTCCATGGAGGTCCCAGCTTCCCCCATAGGTGGGGCCTGGCCCAGGGGACAACATCCCTCCCCTAGGGAGGAGAGAATAGTCCCTTCCCTTCCAACTGGGGCTTCAACCCCTCTCAGGGGCCGGTGGGGGAGGGAGGAGGGAGAGGATGCAGATAAAATAAAAGGTATGAAATGGAAGGTCTTCTCATGTGCATTCCTGGGTGGTGGGTTCAAGGGCACCACAAGAAATGCAATGGGCCATGCTGGGTCTGGGAGGGGATGCAGGTGGGGCTGCACCCAGGAGAGGGTGAGCTGAGGGGGAACCTCCCTGCCCGGCCTGGGATCTCTGAGACTCAGGTTTGAGTTGCTCTGGGCAGCTGTTTCCAACAGACTGGTATCCAACTGACTTGTATCTGGGTCACTTCTAAGGCACTGTCCCAGTGGTGCCTCTTCCAGCCCAGTAGGGGTTTCTGTTCTTCTGCTGGGTGTGCCAAGGGCTAAGGGAGTGTGGTTGGTCCCCAGAGTGGGAAGAAAGAGGTGTGGTCTGTGGCACAAATTCAGTTCCCCTGATGGCTATTGGTGTCATCGATCGGGGGGGAATGGACACTGAGCAGTTTAGAGGACTCAAAGCTGAAAACAGCCAGCCCCAGATCAAGCCATGGGGTCTGAAGACAGAAGAGGGCAAAGGAAGGGCCTCACTCACTGATGGGGCTAGAGAGATCTTTGGACGTGACATAGTCACATGTACAGCTGTGCGGGGTGTTCACTGTGCAAGGGGTTAGGGTGGGTGGAATCCCACCAGTGGGCCACTCCTCAAGATGTGACACAGAGCTCCACCCACCTGACTAAAGAGCACCCTTTTCTAATCCATGCAGAGGCACCGAAGGGCCAGTAGTGGCCCCAGAAGAGTGTTGAGAATGGGTGCGATTCCTCCTAGCAGAGGCAGGACAGAGGGTGTTCTGTGCAGCAGCCGCTGCCTGCACCAAGGCTTGGATGCAGGGCATGAAGAAAAGCATGACAATGAGGCAGAAGAAGAGCTACAGAAGAGTTGGCTGAGGCTTTCAACACCAATTCCCAGAATTTGCCCTTCAACTGGGGGAACCTGGAGCAAACTGGAGCCATGGAAGGTGGTTGAGTGGGGAAGTGATAAGCTCAGGGCAGCATCTTAGGATTTTTAGCGAAAGTCCAGCAGCCTGCTGGCCACGTAGGGAGGGTGGAATTAGAGACCAGAGCCTTCCCTGTGCACCAGCCCATGGCCTCACAGGCCGTGAAGTCAAATCCTTTGTTCAGATGTAACTTAGGTGGACAACTCCACGGTGTTCAAACATTCAAGGAGGCTGCAGCAGGCGGGGGCCAATGTATGGCTCCAGGTTCTCCCCATGGGGAAGATTTCCCTCTTCCATTGTCCTTCTCTATCACCGCTCCAGCCATTATCCATCTCCTCCCCTCCTCAATACCAGAATCCCAATATTTTAGGTGGTGATGAGCCCAGCTCAAAGTCAACATTTCCAGCCTCCCTTGCACATATGGTGTGGCTTTGTGACTTAATTTTAAGGTATGAGATATGAGTAGAACATGTTGGAAGGGATTTCTAAACATGCTCCTTGAAATAGAAATGATACTGGTGAGGGCTAGTTCTGTACTTTCTGCTTCATTTTGCATTCAGCTTGGAATGCAGATGTGATGGTTGGAACTCCAGTAGCTACCCTGGATGAGGAGGTGACCTTGAGAATTGTTGCCTTGTGCTGAGGATAGTAGAGCAGCAAGATAAAAGACCCTGAGCTTCTGATGACACCACCATAGGCGTGCCCATATCATCCCTGGGTTCCCTATTTCCAGACTCTCTCAGTGACAAAGAGAAATAAACTGTTAGTTTGTTTAAGCCAGTGTTTGTTCTTGTCTCTGTTACCAGCAGCCTATATTATTATCTACTGCTGCATAACAAATTACCCCACAACTTAGTGGCTTAAACCAGCAATAACCATTATTATCTCTCCTGCTTTCTGTGGGTCAAGAATTCAGACATGGCACAGAGAGGATGGTTTATCCCTGCTCTGTGATGTCCAGGGCCTCTCCTGGAAGAATTGAAAGCCGGGAGTGGAATCATCCAAAGGCTCGTTCACTCACACGCCTGGCAGTTGACGCTGGCTGAGGGCTGAGGGCCTAACTAGGGCTACCGGCTGAAACCCCCAAAGAGGGCCTCTCCATGTGGGTTGGGCCTCCTCACAACTTGTCTAGGTTTCAAGGACAAGTGTACCAAGAGGGTGGAGGCTGCTTTGTCCTTTGTGATCTAGCTCTGGAAGTCTCATACATCCCTTCTGCCCCTTCCTGTTGGTTAAAGCAATTACAGAGGTCCACCCAGTTTCAAGGGGAGGGAACATAAGACCCCACCTCTCGATGGAGGCTTGTCAACATCACATTGTGAGATTAGCACAGTGGGATGGGAGATACATTAGTGGCCATGTTCAGAAATGCAACAAGCCAAATGCCATTCCTAACCGATCAACATCTGCAAAAAGATGAACATCGGCTGTTTTATGATGCTTGTTTGAGGGAAGAAGTTGGTGGTATGTCACATGTAGGGGCAGAATGACATGTTTTGGTCATTTACTGGGGACCTCAGGCTGATAGTAGATTAAATATGACCACAAATTCTTTGTAGCTCCTCCCCTCAAGAGGCAGAATCTATTTCCCCGCTCTTTAAATCTGGGGTGGCTTGGTGACTTGCTTTGACCCGTAAAGCGTGGTAGAGGTGAGGCTGCGCAGCTGTGGAAGCCAGGCCACAGGAGGACTTGAAGTTTCCACCTCTGCTCTCTCGCAGCCCCAAGACCACCATGCTGTGAAGGTGCCCGGCCTAACCTCCAGACAGATGAGAGGTCACATGTGCGAGAACTCAGGCCCCAGCCAAGAGCCAACAGCAGCTTCCAGGTACCAGAGTGAGGCCATCTTGGACACACCAGGCCCAGCGGGGCCACAGATGACTGTGGCCACAAGAGTGACCCCCAGGTGAGACTAGCAGACAAACCACCAAGCTGATCCCGAAGCCCGAATTGCTGACCTACTGAATGGTGAGAAATAAGAAAATCCTTGTTGTTTTGGAGTGGTTTGTTACATGCAATGGAGAGCTGTTACAAGGCTCTGAACCCACTTCCACCTCAGGACGGAGGGTCACTGGGTCTTCGAGCCAGGTGGAACCAGAAACCCCAGTGTGTGCTGAACAGCTCCCATCTCCTGGTCCTTTTCTCTTGTTCACGTGTTTGGTGTCTATTAGAACATGGTTGCTCCATTGTAACGACTGAGGAAGAGGGCAGAGCCTGGTCCCCAAATCCCAGAGGCCTCTGCCCCTGCCCTCCCACCGAGGCCTGAGAGGGCTCCGCCCAGCACAGCCGAAACAGGGTGCCTGATTTCCACCCCCACCCAACCCCACTCCTCTCTGTCTTTGCTACCTCAGTAGTGTCACCACTGCTGCTTAAACCAGGCACTTACAGAACAATCATCTTCTTCCTCTTCTTCATTTTTTTAAACTTTATATTATGTACAACTTCAAACACCACAAAAGTAGAGAGATTGGTGCAAAGAGGCCCTTTGTCTTCAGTACCCAGCACTGTGGCCATCGCCCACCGAGACCATCCTTATTTCACCCCCATTCACCCCCTCTCCTCACCTCTCCAGCTGAAGTATTTTGAAGATCTAGAAGTTGTCACATGTGATCCATAAACAGCTCCTTCACCCCTACATGAAATCTACACCCAAGATTCTGCCTACAATACATCTCTCTAGATACCCCCAGTCCTCTTCCCACAAGCCACCACTTTGCTCCAGGCCCCCGGGGGCCCTCCTCTAGTGACAACCTTGAACTCTCACTTCCTTGCATCCCTTCCAGCCCATGCAGAATCACCTTAAAATCTAAACCAAATCGCATCTCCACCTCACTTAAAATATACCAGTGCCTCAAGTAAAATCCAGACTCCTGCCCTGGCCCTCAGACCCCTGTGAGGTCTGCAAACGTCCCCAAGCTCCCTCTGCCTTTCGGAGCCCCAGCCACAGTGCCTGATCCTACAACAAGCCAAGCCCCTCCCCACTCGAGGTCTCTGCAGATGCTGTCCACCTCCTGAGCCCTCTTCCTCCCCAACTCTTCCCGAGGCCCCTGCACTGCTCTGTCTGAAGCCATCCACTCACCTACCTCAGCTCCCTTTGCATTTTCTTTCTGCCACTCACTGTAGTGGCAATTATTTTTATTTATATATAGATGAGGTTATTATTTGTTTCTCCTATTGGAACTAAAGCTTTGGGAGGCAAATGGTCACAGGAGCAGATCTTTAAGTTGGACAGAGATCCAGCTCTGCCACTATGACCCGAGTGGCCTGGAGCAAGTTACTTAACCTCTCAGCTACAAAACAGTGGATAATAATAGAATCTGCTGACTTCCAGGGGTTGTCATAAGGATTAAGTAAGATAATAGACCATCAGGCTTAAAACAGGGTGAGTAAGTGCTCAGTAAACTTAGCTATCATCATCATTTGTACTATTACAATTATTAATTATAAACAGGCACTCCAGGGGAGAGGATATAGCTCAAGTGGTACAGCGCATGCTTAGCATGCATGAGGTCCCGGGTTCAATCCCCAATACCTCCTCCAAAAATAAACAGATCTAATTAACTCCCCCTGCCAAAACAAAATAACTAAATAAAAATATAAACAAACAGGCACTCCATACCACACACACACACCAGCAGGCAGCAAGCACGGTGCCTGGCACACAATAGCTGTCCAGTGAATACATGTTAAGTAAATGATTCCTCACTCCTACCAACACCTCCGAGGTTACTGGGGCTAAAGTCCTGAGGATGGGCTGGTGGCCCACCTTATCCTGTGGCCCAGACCAGCCAAAGGAGTTTGCATCACTCAGCCTCACTTTACAATTAATGGGCTGAGAAGGGCACCCAGGGAAGTGTCGGCTGCTTCTTCCATCCAGAGCCACCCATGAGGTTTTGAGTCTCCTCTGCAGATCTGGACCCAGGACTACTGGGCCCCTAGAGCTTCCCCAGGGTGGCAGGCCCCTGCACTTCTCGTGAGTTTCATCTTCCCTGTTAGGGCACACATGCTGCCCTCTGTCCTCGAGAGCCCGTGAGTATGAAGTCATTGCTGAGGTGGCTGGAAAGGACAAGAACACATCCCTGAGTCAGGGTGGGGAAGGTGTGATGCTACCCTGCTGGGTGAAGGCAAAAAGCTCCTGGGAGTCAGATTCAGCAGGAACAAAGAAGAATGGAGTGGCCAGATTGATAACTGCACACCGAGTGCCGCATTACCTCTGCTCCAAGGAGGAGTTTCTGTCCAGAATGTCAGCTGGGACCACAATCGGCTAGTTTTCCATAACCCGTGGTTACACGCAGAAAAACAGATGTAGTGTTCTTCTTTTTGGCTGCTGTTTTAAAACTTATAAAATGAAACTAACCAAAATAAAAATACTGATTTTTTTTCAGTAGAAGAGTTTCAATTTGTGTTATAAATCACAGTGTGTTATAAAAGACTGCATTAAGGTAAAGATTAATATTTTAATAAAGATCAAGTTCAAATCTCTAAAAAAAAACTTATAAAATGAACATAAGAGCATTGAAAACTTCAGACACTATGGACATTTATGAAGTTAGGAGACAGAACTCCCCCAGCGCACGGTGTGATTTGCTCAGTCTGTTTCCCAGGCTCGCTGGGAAAGCAAAGGGTGGGGCGTGAAGGATTAACCAGTGAGGGTGGCAGCGCTGGTGGTTTCTGGGATCCCCAGCCATGGGTAGAATGGAAACTCCAATCTCTATCTTCAACTTGGGCCTCTGGCTTGAACTCTGGATTCAGGCATCCAGGTGCCTCCTTGAGCAGCCCACTTGGGTGACCTCCAAACATGGCAAGCTCAGCGGATCCCACACTGACCATACCATCCACCTCCCCAAAGTGGCTTCTTCTCCCATGTCTCTTCCTCCATGAATGGCATCACTGGGGAGCCAAACCCAGCAGCCACTGTCCCCGCTTCCTCACATTCAGCCGGCCATTGGGTCCCATCCAAACTCACTCACCAGCCACGTCTCAGTTTTGCTGTCTGCTCCCATCCCAACTCTGCCTCTGCCTTGTCCAGGTCACCACCCTCTCCAGCCTGGGCCAGGGTCCTGTGTGGTCTCACTTTATGTAATCCTTTTCCCCCCTAGTTTTATTGGGATATAATTGGCATACAGCACTGTATACGTTTAAGGTGTACGACATAATGATTGAACTTACTACATTAAAGAAATAGAAAAAAATTTTTTCTTGGGGAAAGGTAGAGCTCCATGATAGAGCACATGCTTAGCATGCATGAGGTCCTGGGTTCAATCCCCAGTACATCCATTTAAAAAACAATTTTAAAAAATCAATAAACCTAATTACCTCCCCTCAAAGAGATAAGTAAAAAAATTAAAATTAAAAAAATTAAAAAACAAAACAAAACATTTTCTCCCTGTAATGAGAACTCTTAGGATTTATTCTCTTAACAGCTTTCATTTATAATGTACAGCTGGGTTAACTGTCTTCGTCATGTTGTACATTACATCCTAGTACTTATTTATCTCGTACCTAGACATTCGTACTTTTTGACTACATTCATCAATTCCCCCTCCTCCCACTCCCCACCTCTGATAGTCACAAATCTGATCTTTTTTGAGTTTGTCTGTGAAGTATAATTGGCCTACAACACTCTGTTATTTCCTGATACACAATAGTGATTCAATATTTCTATACATTTCAAAATAATTAGCATGCTAAGTTGTCATCTGTCACATACAAAAATATTACATAACTATTGACTATTTTCCCCACACTGTACATTTCATACCCAGCACTCATTTATGTCATT